CCCCCCCCCCCCCCCCCCCCCCCCCCCCCACCACCACTCAGCAGCCCCATGCAGCGCGACCATGAGGAAGAAGCTTGCCTGGTAATCAGGGCTTGTTTAATAACAAAACTCCAGCTATTGTAGAACAATATTCTCCAGCATCATTGTAATATACAATACAGGGAATGCTCTCAGCAATCTGAGAAGGTTACGAGCCGCGGCAGTCGGCTCCGTAGGGGCGTCCATTCCGTGCACTTCGGCACAGCCCACAGCTGCCGGTCCGGTCCGTGCGCGGGGGGCCCCGTTCGGGTCCGTGGAGGTCTCTCTCAGCGGCACAATATGCGGTCGGCAGCGGCCATGCACGGAGCCTGCAGAAGGGGAAGCGGGCGGTCAGTGTGAACGGGGCTGGCACAACAGGACGGGGCACAACCGGAGGAGGACCGGGAGAAGCGCAGGGAGAATGGGAACGTGACCCGGGGGTCGGGAAGGATTCGGAAGGGCTGCACTCACCTCGGGAGGCTCAGCAGCAGCGGGGGGCCGGGGAGGGCCAGGCTGCAGCGCGAGCTGCAGGTCCCAGATGTAGTCGATCACGTGCTGCAGGAGCTCCACTTTAGAGACCCTCCGGTGCCGTGGCAAGGTGGGCACCAGCGCCCGGAGACGCGAGTAGCAGCCCTTCATGTCATACAGCAGCGCGGCGGCCGCCTGCTCAGCAGCTACAGCTCCCGGGCCCGGCCCACAACGGGCGGCTTCCCCGGGCCGCACGGCTTTCAGCGCCCCACCGGGACCGGCGGGCAGAGGCGAAGGAACGGCGGCAGCGACCTTCATACCGAGCGGCGGCGATGGGACCCTGCGGGCGGCCGTAGGAGCTCTGCGCTGTGCAGCGCCAATTATAGAGCGCCACCGACGGGGGGGCGGAGCCTCGTGGCGAGCGAAGACCAATAGCAGCGCAGAGGGGGCGGAGACAGCCGCGCCAGCCCCATTCATGCGCCCCGACGGGCAGCGCCTTAAAGGGTCCGCAGCCTGGAGAATGGAGTTGGGGGGGTGCTCAGAAATGCGAAGGGAGTTCTAGGGGGTGCGGGTCCTCTCAAGGTGCGGGATACAAGCAGGCACCGCCCCGCCGTAGTTCCATCGGCAGTGACCCCGTGGGCTCCCGACGCTGTGTCTCCCTGCACCCTCCCGGGATCCTCGCATTCCCGGTTCCACTCAGCCCAGCGCACCCTCTGCACCCCAGGACACGCAGCCCCGCGCTTCCCGCAGCCTCTCTCCCTCTTCTCCCTCTCCCAGCCCTGCCGACCCCACGCGCTCACTGCAGCCCCCAGGGCCCCGTGTAGCCCCCCCCCCCTCCTCCTCCCGCCTCCCCAGACCGTTAGACGCCAGGGCCGTGACGTCACCCATTCATAAAACTCCGCGCGCTGTCAGCGCGGCGCCGCGCGGGCGGTGCCCATGGCGACGGGGGCGGAGTGGGGCGGGGGAGGGGGGGCACCTGCAGCCCGACCCGGGAACGGGACACGGCCACCCCTACGGAGACACAGGAACGCGGGAACACGGCCACCCCCATGGGGACACGGTGACACCCAGCTCGGGGCGCCGGTGAGCGGCACCTGGGGCCGGTTGGGCGGTGGAAACCTTCGTGCGGTCTGAAGACGAAACAGAAACCCAGTCCTTGCCCTAAAGGGCTTCCGATCTAAGCGTTAATTAGCGTTAATGATCGCTACCTCAGCTCACACCTGCAGGGAGGTGCGGTCACGGCTTTGCGGGGGCCGGGCAGCACCGAGCGGGGCGGCTGCGTGGGGACCCCCGCCCCCCCGGCACAGCTGCGGGCCTTCCGGACACCGTGCGGGCAGCGCGGACACGTGGGTACGTAGGTGTGTGCACACATGCACGAGAGGTTCACACGCACAAAACCTCGTAGATGCACACACACACACATGCACGTACGTGGATGCAGAAACACGCGTGGACAGACGCACGTGCATACAGCAGGTACGCTGTGCGGGGGTCGGTGCGCAGGCGTTGCTGTGGCTGCGAGGGGCCGCGCCGTCCTGCCCTAGTGGCAGGGGTTTGTTGTAGGTCAGACCCCAACCTCCTCCCCCGTGTCCATCCCATGGCTCTGCGCAGAGCCGCAGCAGCCTTCCCTGGATCGCAGTGAGTTAAAGGCCTCCCCTCATCCTCCTCCTCTGCAAACAGGGAGCAGTCCTGGAGAGCGCTGCACACAGAGGGCCTTTAACCCCATCACCTTCGGCTCTGCCCTGCCAGCCTGGCTGTGAGAGCCGCATCCCCCAGTCCCTCCATCCCTCTGCCCCCTCCACCCCCACCCCGCCGCCTTTGTGAGCACCTCCAGCCCTCTGTCACCATCCCTCTGTCCCAGTGCGGTTCCCAGGGTGGGCACAGCTCTGGGGTCGCCCCCTCCATTCAGAGCCCCGCGGAGGGCCTGGTGCTGCCCGGTTCCCACCACGGCTCTCAAAGCCACTAATTAGCCCCCATCTGGCGGTGCTGGCCTGGCCGCGGCGGGGAGGCCGAGGACATTGTGCACAGGAATGCCTTTCAGCAGAGCCGGGCGCCCGCCAGCTGCACCGCCAACAATACGCCACGGCTGGGATGAGCCAGCCCTGAGCATCGGCCACCCCGGGTGGTGAGGGGACAGCGATGGGTGTCCCGTGGTCGCCCCATTCCATTAGGTGGCTCTGAGGGACCCCCCTTGGCACGTTGGGGTGCCGGGGATGCCAGCCCTGCACCGCTGCCTCGGCCGCAGTTGGGAGCGGGTGTGCCGGTGTCTGCGGGCAAGACGGATGGCTTCATTTCCATCTCAATTCTGGGAAAGGGGCACACGGTTCGGTAACAGAGGCCTCGGCCATATGGCGCTGGCGGGGCGCAGCCTGGCCGGGATTGTGGCTGCTTTGCGCCGAGTAGGGGTTGCCCAGCAGCAGAGCACATCAAAGCCTCGGGCCGTTCCCCCCACCGCGGCACCGGAGGGACCACACAGGGCACAGCTGCACCGCCTGTGCTGTGGAGATGATAGGGACGCTGCCACAGCCCCATGGCAGCACCCAGCCTCGTGCAGGGCTCCGCAGCTTGGCTGCATTTTGGGGGCTGGGGCTTAGGATGGATTTTGCAGCCCCTAGCCCAAGCAGCAGCAGCAGCATGATAGACTCAGGAAGGACAACGTGTCCCAGTAACACAGATCGGGATGCAGACACACGGCTGAGCACGGACCTGCATGGATGCACAGATCTGCAGACACCAGGATTCAGGCTGGCTGTCCTCCAAGTGAATGGAGGCCCCAGGCTGTGAATACACACCCCAAAACCCAGATTGGGGCTGTGCATTGCCTCCAGCTTAGCCATCCCTACCATACGGCTCCTCGGCACCTCACCCTACCCTGAATAGGGCTCCTGGCATAGCAGGGCACTGTGGAGCTCCAACCTTGCCGTGTGGCCACCGGCACCCGTTACACAGCTGGAGAAGGGCTGAGGCCTGAGAAAAGCCCCCCTGCGTTCCCCTCCCACCTTCTCCCTTCCCGTTCCCGGCTCCATCCGCTGCAGCCCAGACCAGCTGGAGCCAGGCGGCCCTTCCTGGGATTTATTCCAGCTTCCTGCCCCTCCTCGCCAGCAGGCCGGGGATGGGGCTGCTCTCTCCTGCTTCCTCTCCCAGCTCACAGCCGACGGTCAGGCGCCGGCACTCCGTGGGACCCCGGCTCTCATCAGCAGCACCCCCCAATTTGCACTAGGCATCTCCGTCCCGTGGTGCTGCAGCTGGGCTGGGGGATGCTTGGACAAAGCAGATGCAGTGGGGTGCTGCATCCAGCACACATCCCCACATCCCTGCTGGGTAAAACACATGGTTGTGAGCAGCAACCCCGAGCAACAACACTTCTTAACTCCATGCTTGGCATCTGAACCCCCTTTGCACCCACAGCCCATCCCGCCGGGGCACAGGGCTCAGCTGCAACCCCTGGTAAAAGGGGCGCATGCCCACGGGCATCTGCATAGCTTTCCAACCCCAAGCTTCACAGCTGCAGCAGGCTGGCTCTGTCCTGTCCCCCCAGCTCCACACATTGAGGTTTCACACCGGAGCCGGGGCGTTTGCATTTCCGTGTCCTCCCCCTAAGCCGGAGGGACCCTGCGGGGAGGGGAAGGTGGCCCAGACAGAGCGGAGCCGTGCAGCCTCTGCAGGACCCAGGTGCAGCACCGGCGGGTGAGCCCGGGGCCGCCCAGGCGCCAGCTTTGCTCCCAGCTCCTTGCAGGGCCTGAACGCTTCCTTCCCTCCGGGCCCTGCCCCGCTTATCGACCAGGCAGGGCTGGGGTGACCCCGCTCTCCCCTCTCACTGCCTTCCGCTCCTCATGTCGCAGCCCTGAGCTCTTGGAGAGCTCCCAGCAACCCGCTGTGCTCCCGCTGCCCTCAGCTCTGTGGGCAGGAGGAGGGAGCGAGGAGGCAGCAGGCAATGCAAGGGCGAGGCCTGGGGTACAGCGTGGGCCCCAACGCAGTCCTGAGTCCTTCAGAACCCCAAAAGCTGCACGGGGATGAGCGCAAAAGCATTGGGGCACGAGGATGCTCAAGCCTGGGAGGAGGCAGAGCCCCATAGGTTGTGGTGGCGGACCCACAGCCCAGGGCAGGGCGCAGCACCCCACGGCACAGCCCGTGTCATTTTCCATGGGACGCTGGAGGCTGCTGAAATCACATCTGGAGTCTAGACTCAGCGACTCCATGGGCCGGGCCTGTCGGCCGCACCGTACCCAGGCCCTGCTGCACACTGTTTGCTTAGCTGGAGGTATTTAATTGGAATTAAAGTGGCCCCTCTTGTTTTTGCGGACAGGGCTGTTGGAAAAGGAGCTGTAAGTCATAGAAAACATCTGTAGGAGGCTGCGAAGGGTCATTAGATGGCAGAATGCAAGGCGCCACTTTTAGTGCTCACAGCCGACGTGGGGAATAATAGCTCAATATGGCTTTTGTGGAGGGGCTGCCAAGCCAGTGAGCACTTTCTATTTATTCTGGCAGAGGGGACAGCTAGAGAGATGCAGGATCCTCCACACGCAGGCCCTGAGGCAGCCATGGATGACACCGCGTGCTGTGAGCTGCACACAGCCCCCTCCTACCCCAGGGACTCAAACTTCCCTACTGGGCACAGCAGCTAAGGCCCTAAACCTGGGTCTGTGGCAAGAGGCCAGGGAAGGGCAGAGCACTGCAGGAGGGGAAGGTCTCTTAGAAACAGTCAGACCAGACCAGGGGCCCAAATCCCACGGGAAGAAAAAGGCTGCCGGAGGGGTCAGGACTCCCATCTGTGGCTTGTGCACCAGGTTCCAGCAGCCAAAAATCACGGCCCCATTACCTCTCCTTCCTTTGAGATGGTTTAATATGAGAGAAAGCAAATGCACAATACAAAATTTAAAAACCGGCCTGTGGTTTGTCCCCTGCCTGCTTTGCACTCACGTAGGAGACAAAGCAAAGGAGAGTGTGGCTGCACGGCCCCGGGGGGCAGCAGGAGGGGTGGATATGTGGTGTACATCAATCCCCACCTGGGCGGCTGCTCCAACACACACAACACGATGCTCTGGCACAACTGTTTCGTCTGTCACTTGCGAAGGGTCTGGAAGGGCCTCAGCCCAGCGGCGCCAGGGTTGGTCCATGGGCAAGGTCACTTCTCTTTCTTGTCACCTTCTATCGTCTCCTCTTTGGAGGCCCTCAGCACCTCCTTGGGGGTAGAGCTCTCCTCGTAGCTGGGGACAGAGAAATGAGAGCAGAACGGTTATCAGGGTCAGCCCTTCTCTGGGGATTGGCATGTGTCAGAACCCAGCCCAGAGCCTGGTGCACCCAGGAGCCTGGCACTGTGTGTTTGGGTTTGTACAG